CTATAGGTGTGCAATAAATAGCTATTTATTGGTGTGTTCCCTTACGTAAAACTTGGAAGCAAGTAATAAATGAGCACTCAATTCCTTACATTTCACTATGATTTGTCTATAGTATTTAAATAAATTACTCCAGTGACAATAGTAAATGAATAATTTAGTACCGTTAACGCCCCAAACATATTGACAATTTTGCAGAAGGCTATCTAAGTCGGGTGTTGGTTACGGAAAGTATATTCCCCATCCATTCAACAGCAAAGTGCTGTTTATTTGTTGCATTACCAATGAAATCTCAAACGCTCGTTGCACTACAAAAGAACTGCAGTTTCATTCAGTCAAAGAGTCACACCCATGATCGCGGACTCATTTTTGTATTTCATTAGCACCATCAAACGATTTGTCCGATTTATCACTAGAACATTGTTAAGCCCACTTGTTGTGTATGTAGATTCATTGGATGTTGATTTTGTTGCTGCAGTTTAACGAGTGGTACAAAAAAAAACTTGCCTTGCCATTTTGGTTCAATGTGGGTAATTTATTTCTCGTGAATGTGTGTTTACAGACTGCCCATCCTGCTAGGATGCTGCCCACCTACGGGATGGTGCTCGGCGCGATGCTCAGCCTCATGGCTAATGACCCTTGCTGGGATCTATGCTAATCAAATCGAATACTTTAATTGATTCTATTTTGCCGCATATTGATGGATCGCACATTTTGGCATATTAATTTTATTGATTAATGCACCGAATGCACTCGCTGAGGTTAGCAGACGGTGACTTGATGCGCCTACCGTAGTGAAAGCTCGCTGGGATTGGCATTTCATCAGTCATTCAACACCCCTATTTTTACATATTATACAAATTATATATGATACAAATTATTTGAAAAATACAAATTTCCCCAACTGTTGCAGGCAAATCGAAATCCACGCTGTTTGCTTTGGGCATCCTTTCTGGTAGCAAGCGAACCAAATAGGCCAACTAGCTAAGCAAATGGATTTAAATGCAACAGTTGCTCATATCATCAATTACTAATAATGAAGTTTTGCATAACTTATGCGAATGATAATCGTGAATGTTCATTTCCTCTGCATTGCACGTCAATTAGGACTAACGCTTTAAAAATTGCCCCATCAAAAGGTTCATGTCCACGATATAACATCGCAAGTCATCGAGCAGTTTGTGCGAGAAACACGCATTTGATTCCAGTGTTACGTAATGCGAGGTGCGCATCATACAATGTGGGTGGAATGTGTGTGGAACGTGATGCCGTACCTCCAGCAGCAATGGGACACAATCACTGCCCGAGTTTTGGATGAAGAACTTGGTCACCATTTTGAAATCTAACAGCGATATTTTCCATAGCGTCCCGCTCAAATGTGCGGCAGAGTCTACGGCCGACACATTCCAGGGAAAAAGCTGTTGTTCGAAGCAAATACTTTAATAACGGTAATGTTATATACTTGAAATGAGCAATTTAATATAAAGTAACTTGAATATTGCAAAAACCCTCCCACTGTGCTCAGTGCTTGCTTTGCTGGAGTCGTGGACAGGAACAACATTCACCTAACAGGGTGGCAATGCTCTTGAAAGGGTTTGGAATTCACCCGACGATTCAATACTGAATGCAATTCAATTCAGTTATCAGTTTATATATTAACAATCCAAATGTCAATTGGCACGATACAATATTGAATCCAATTCAATTTAATTGAATTCGATTAATGAAATCGAAAGTCAAAACATACGTTTTGTAGTGCCATTTCCTCGAGCTCACGGTTATCTTCATTCCGTTCCCGTTTAACCGTCGCTGTTCTTTCGCCAGGGACCCAGACACGAGGACGGCTCTGCAGCAGATTCCTGGGACTTTCGTGGAGTCACTGAAAAGTTTATTGGGAAGAATTACGGCAACGGGCCAACCCTAATCCCAAGAAGCCCACGAGAATCTTGTCAGTCATTCGACGGCATCTGCTGATGTGGCCCCGTCAGCCTGCCGAAGACTGCGGCGAGGCGCAGATGAGTCGAAATATACGTCAGCCTGCGGATTCCGGGGGGCGCTGACGTCAGCAGAGAAGCTGCGCACGATCGTCGATGAGTCAGGTTCTTCCAAAATTCTTTTAAATTACTTGTTGCCTAATTAGTTAAATTTGACTAGGATTGAACCCCACCCTCGGTGGTCTGCAATTTAGATTTGCGATTATCCAGTCCAAATACGATGCGGACAGGTGTGAGAAACTTGGGGTGTTTGCGGTACCTGCGGTATAGATACGGTCCGGTCTACGACATCTCCGATGTCTGCGGATAGGTGTGCAGAAGAATCCAAGACGTCTACGATGTACGGGCTGGACTATTGTATGTACGGTTTCTGCAGATTGGTGAAGGAAATTCACACTATTAAATTCTCTCAAGCATGGCAGCAAAAAAAAATCAAGGCTGGTTGGCTTTTAAAATCAGGGGTGGCTAGGGGCACCCAGGAAAGCGGCCACATCCTCTGGTCAGTTACCATTAAAATCAGCTTTCCAAAGTGCCACCATGGTAGACTGAAGGTTGACCAGGTGTTGACTAAAGTTTGACCAGGAGTCGGCCAAGGCATTGCTGAGGCATTATCGACTGTTGGCCGCGGCTAAAACAGAGCAATTGAGCTCTTCAGCGAGGTACGCTTTGGGTGGTCAATCTAAGAAAAGAATTGCTAGTTTTGAGGACGTCTGTATTGTTGCGTTAAGTTGCGTTTCGCGCACGCTTCCCTCTGGACAACTGAGTACAGCACTCTTGGGGAGGCTGAGCGAAAGTTACGCCCTCTCGCGGGGAACACTAGGCTCAAATTTTTTGTTCTAGGCTTTACTTCATTGATTTTATCCTCACTCGAGGGCGACAATGTACCTTTGACAAAATGTGGCAGCGAATGTGGCGCAAGAAAAAGGAAGGTTAATGAAGCCGCGGAAATCGCGAGGTGGCTGGCGGAAAATTGTGGTGTTGCGAAGAAACGACGAAGCGGCTTAATTTGTTTGACAATTGTGGTGATGACAAAATCGTGGTGGTGACGAAAGAACTGGAATTTTGCGATGTGGTTGATGTACATATTTAGGATGAGGTCCAGTGAACGATGTTTGATGTGTATCGAGTACACTGTGCGATCGTACAAATGCGCATCGATAGTATCGATCCATTTGCATCGATTCGATACAAATGTTCATTTGCCTAACCGTACACTATGACATGTCATCCAAAAACGTCAATGGTGACGTCAGCAGGATTCCATATTATCACCTTGACATGCTTTCAATGCTGCTGCGGCAACCCGCCATTCGTGTTGAGAGCTTTCGCAGCGCCCTTTCTTTAAGTACTGCAGAGTGAATGGGGGCAATTGAAGAAAACTTTGAGCAATCATGGCGCTGGCCACCCAGCGGGTTTGAAAACGCAACGTCCTTGCAATGTGCACGTGTGTGCAATCAATTACTAATAGTTGATACCGACATTGATATTCGGTACTAGTAACTGGTACTTTGCAGTACTGCGAAGTACTGAATATCGTACTGCTTTCTTTCGCAAAGCGGTCTTCGAGGCCAAAGCAAAAATAGCCACTGAACGAAAATCCAGCCTTCAGGCGCAAGGCGGCACGGAAGATTGTTCAAAATGTCTCGAATTCAAACGGACCCACCCGTTCTCGTGAACACCGTCATTTCCTTGTTTGCGAATTTTTAACATACAACTCGCCTTAAAATGAGATTCGCCAATTTGATGATGAGGAACGTACCACCAACCAAGTCCCTGACAGCCACGAAGGTGCCAAGAATCGTATAGCTCAAATTGGAACTGGCCAGTGAATCAAAAAGTGAACATGTATGTGAACTTTTAAGTATTCTTCTCCCTGAATTCCAATCCCCAAGATGCCCAAGAGCCATTCACCATTGAACCAGACAGCCAGGTTCAAAAACTTTCTCTACGAGCGTCTAGACCCAGATGGCCTCATAGGTAGCCCCCTTCAGTGAGCTTAATCTTGAACATCACAATGAACTTCTAGTGAGCTACTCCTAAGCCGCCCCAGAGCACAGAGCTTGAGAGAATCCCTGACAGCTGCTTCGGACGGTACCCCATACGGCCCCGGACTGCGCAATCCACAGCACCGCACATCCAATGCTGCAGCCCGCGAAGCACAATAAGGCACACGCTAATGTACAACACAGTACATTGTCAAACAGTATCCATCCGTTGGGCGCCAGTACTCATCCAGGCAAGATCTGCGCACAACAGCCGCCACAGTTTGGGGCAAACATGCCACAGGTCTAGTCATCTGGCACATCCCGCTTGCCCAGTATTTGCTCGCGTGCATCTCCACCCAAGTTGGGGCATCCATGAGCCACCGTCACCTAAGTTAGCCGGCGCCTCCTTTCGGTACTGAAACATTCGCATGTGGACAAGAATTCAGCACCCTCAAGCTCACAAACCAATGCCACCTCCATCGCTGAATCTCCACCCTGGTTGGCAGAAGCCCCACAATCCATCCACTCCCCCTTGCTCTGCACGTTCCGGCATGGTGCTACCACACACCTCCAACACATTTCATGCTGCCAACTTACCCACACACCCCGACACATCCAACTTCCCATTCCCGCCAAGCCCCAGGCACACAAACCGGCAACCACAAAGCATTCAACCACCACTCCAATGCTGACTGCACCTTTGCCAATCAGACACCCCCCTCCCCCCTCCACCCCCCAACAGCGCAGTAGGGATCGGAGCGTGCACGCCCAGAGCAACCCACTCCGGGCCCTCTGCAGCCCTCGCCATGGAACGTAAATGGTTGCGCTCCCCCAGAGCCACGGCACCTTCGCAACCCAGCTCAGACCTTCCCCTGGCCATCTGCAGCTAATCCCCAATCGGCACCTCGCACCAGTGCCCCCTCTGCAACTTCCCGCCACCCGCGCATCATGATCGATCCATCGGAGTTGAAGAGTCAACCACCGATCACCCATGCGTCCACGGCGTTGACCAGCCAGACTCTGGTCAACCATGAATCTGGGACCTATCCATGCCCAGCGACCACCTGTCCACATCCCCGCAGTCCGCCTCGTGACAATCGTTGGCGCACAAACAATCATACTGCTTCGAAAACGTGGTGGGCGTCATGCACAGCCCCGCCCACACCTCGCTCTGCACGTTGTACCCCGCGCTGTACATTGCGGCGTGCACTCCCCCTTCGTAGTACTTTGCGCTGTACCTTTCCCGTGTGCCGTGCTCGGAGTCCTTCACCCTGCAGACGGCAAACTCCATCTTCCGCCCCCTGCTGTGCGCGTGACTGCCCGGGAAGGCGATCGGAAACAACCCCTGGGTGCCGCATACCTCCCGGCAGCCGTCGGCCTCGGATTCAGTCAACTGACCCACGCGTTGACTGGTCGACTGACCCACCTTCTTGCTGACCCAACGCAGTGGCATGCTCTCAGTCTGACAAACACAGAAAAAGGATGTAGAATTCTTGGATCTGTAATCTGACCAGACGCCGGATAAACCTTGGGAATTATATTCTGTGTTGCATATTGCTTTTGAGGAGGTATGTTCCTCGATATTCTGCCCAGGTCGTATGCCCTCTTGGCCCTTGATGTCTGCGAAGCACGGATACACGGCGCTGGCGTTGACCGACGCGTTGACCGGTCCGTTGACTTCTTGGGCCGCGTTGACAGCCGCCGGGAAGTTGGCGCCGCGCCTTGCGCAGGTGTCCGCACAGGAGAGGTCGTCTTTGGCGTCCACCCACATCCAGTCGCATCCTGCCAGAACCATTGTGGACAAGCATGAGTACCCAGTGCTGCTGGCAGTACTGTGGAAACACGTACTACTATCATGTACTGTAGTAACATTTACTGACATGTATTGCCGTATGTACAACATAAAAAAAGGCAAAAACATGGTGGCAAAAAAGCACATCATAGCACAGCATATCATAGCATAACATATCACAGCACAAATGTGGCAAGCATTGGTCAACAGTACAACAATTGCCCGCTACGAGTTAACTACACAAGTGCATTTTATATTACATTGGTTCATAGGTAACTCACTATAGTAGTACATAGTCAACTACACATGTACATTATATGTACATTGCAACGTTCCAATATATTTATTCAGTTCGCTCACCTGGCTCGGACTGGCCCAGAAGGCAGTAGCCGCAGCTCGAGGTCTGCAGCGGCGGGTAGCACTCGTTGCATCTGCAGTTCTCGTCGCACGCACCTTCCTTGCAGCCCACTATCGACCTAAGGTGTGCAGTACTCAAGCGTCAGCGCTAGGGAGGCCAAAATGATAGTATTGGCTATGGCCGGTGCTCGTGGCAACCACCTAGTCCATAGCCCACCCACACCGCACACAATATTAACTAACTTTCGTGCAAAATGTCGGTAAGGGGGTCACGGAAAACAACAGAACATGCATCCTCTTCTCTTTTTGTGCACTCAGAAATAGCGATGTTGCGCACAAATTTCCCTGTTTTCTGACGGCCAATCTTGAGCACAACCGTTTTGCCCAAAAAAACACATAATCGCGATGTTGCGCATAAGTGCAGCCTTTCGGACCTTACCGACATTTTGCACGAAAGGCTGTTTATTTAAACGTCCATATTACTGCTTACGAAGTATTAGGAAAGGAATATTACTACAAGTCATTGTGCAGCATTTCATCATTCACAGATACATTAATCAAACATGAAGTGAAGTTAAAGACGAACCATGCCAGAAGAACACCCTTATGGCCCAGGGTGTGCAAGATGCAGTTTTTGAATTAACACATAGGTATATTGTCATATCAAGATTTACCAAACTTCCATTAAAAGTGTTCTACATATTAACCCAACAACAGGTTCCAATCCATACACATGTTCTTGTACGTCCTTAAACAAACACAGATTTAATTTACAGGTACTAACCTGTTGCAGGCTCTGCAGAAATTATCACTAAGTCTCTGCAACCTTTGTAATGATTCTTGCGCACTTTGGTCCCATGCGACAAAAAGGAGGACGGAAAGCAACTGTTATCAGTACTCAAAGTACGTTTTACCTAAGTTGCCGAATGCTTGCTATTTAAAAAAACCTAACAAGTGCTCGGTACTTAGCATTAAATGTGGTGCGCACCTGCAGTTGCATTCGCAGCTCTTTCCGCCCCATCCAAGTTCATGGTAGACTGCGCACTCCTCGCACACGCCGCATTGGGTGGAGCTGCATTGGGCGCAATAATCGACGCCGCAGCCTGCGCACCTGATGATACAGTACACAACGCTTTACTTTGCGCACAGCTCAGTACATCGCGCTTCACTTTGAGCACAATTCAGTACATAACGCCTCCCTTCGTGCTCGACTCAGTGCGCTGGGTTTCTTTTGTACCAAATCCGCTCAGCTGAAACCGCCGCGCAGTGAAGAAATGATGGTGGAGCATTGTGTATTCCTTGCCGGCTTGTACATTCCGCTTCAATCTGCTCATTCAGTACATTGTGCTGTAGTCTGCCAAGTTGACAATGTTTCACTTCATTCTGCTCATTGCGCTTCACTTTGATAAATTTGGCAGAATCCGCTTGCACTCATTCTAGCATAGCAATGCGTACTTGCCAGACTTTGTACAGTGCACACTGTACTGCAGATTTCCACTGCGAGATACAGTGTACATTGTACACACAAGTACATATGTATATTTGTGTACAATATGTGCTGTTTTATTTCGCCGAGAAGCATCACCTGTCGTACACAAGCTGCCCTGTCAGTAGCACTGTCAGGATACTAGCTTGAGGTTACTAAATGGGTACTAAATAGTACACAAAGGACGCCCACCACACAAGGCCCCTATCAGTACATAACGCCTGCACCAAGCTCCCCAACCTGCAAGCCCTTCAGCACAGGCAGGCTTGGTTTTTACGCCGTAAAAGCTGATCGTATTTACGTTTTCATGCGTAAAAACAGTTTTTACGCGGAAAAACACTTTTTACGTTTTTACGCGCAAAAATGCGTAAAAATGCGTAAATACAACGTAAAAACTGCCCTGTGTACATAAGGACAGTACATACAGACTTACGGAGTCCGGAGAGTGGCAGGCAGACGCCCTGGAAGGAGCATAAAACGAGTTTTTGTCAAACACCATCATTGCCCTTGCCAAGGGCGAGGTGGACACTGTGTTGCGGGTGCTGGGTATGGCGGAGGACAGAGCATTGTACGCAACTTTCATCACGTAGTCTGGGCGTCCAAGGGAGCCGTAAAAACGTAAAAATAGCCGTATAAATAGGTCTTTTGCAAATTTACGTTTTTACGCGTAAAAACGTAAAAGTAAAAACGTAAACGTAAACGTAAAAACCAAGCCTGAACACAGGCTCGCGTGTCTTTTGTAAGGATGGGGGGGCACCTGGACGCTGAAACGTGATGTAATATTTGGAAAAAAAGAAGGCCTTCAGTACATATGTCCCGCCTGCATGGACACTGATTTGTGATGGCAATATCTGGGAATGACCTATGCAGCTTGTGCTCCTTGGTGCTGTGCGGGATGGGGTTTCTGAAGATCATCGTGGGGTCAGTGTTGACCGCTACCAAATGGACGCTGTCTGATTATCTGAGTTCGGCAGAGACATATGACGTCACCAATGTATCGAATTTTCACGCCTGTAACTATTTTCGTTGATTCACTCAATGTATGGGAATCAAAATGGCTCTGCAGTGCACAAGTTCCGTCCACATTGACACTCACATGCGATGCAAACATTTTGGATTCAGAAAAGCCCTTCAGTGCACAAGCCGCCGCGGACCTGGACACTGAAATGTGATGCAGATATTTTGGAATCAAAAGGAGCCCCTTCAGTACACAAGCACCCTATCGAAGCTGCAGCGCACCTGCACACCCCCTCCCTGTCGGGCTCCATCCCCTCCACACACTTCTTGCACCGCCCGCAGTCCTCTGGGTCACACTCCTCGCACCCCGCCACCCCGCACGCCCCGCAGATGCATGTGGATCCTTCCAGAACGTACCCATCGGCGCAAGCCGTGCATATGTCGCAATCATCGGCACACGCATCGCAGTTCGGCGATCGACATGAATCGCATGCACAGGTCAGACCGTCCGAGCTGGTCGAGTAGCCCTCCTCACAGATCGCACACTCAGCGCAATTGCCAGAATCGCACTTCTGGCAGTGCGCAACTTGACATGCCGAACAGACGCAGCCCGCGCCGTACTCTGCCGCGTAGCCGTCCTCGCATTCCAGGCAGCTTCCGCAGTCGTCGGCATCGCAGGTCTTGCAGTGGGGGATGGCGCAATCGCCGCACGAGCATGTCGATCCGTCGGAAGCCAGATCGAAGCCAGGATCGCAGGCAGTGCATGTGGCGCAGTCGTGCGGGTCGCAGGCCATGCATCGATCGACGGCGCATCGCTCACACGTGCACGAGCCGGCTTTGTCCATCCGGAAGCCAACGTCGCAGGTCGCGCACCTGGAGCAGTTGGAGGGGTCGCAGGCGGCGCAGTGTGGCGCGGCGCAGCCATCGCAGACGCAGGAGCCGGCCACCGCGTAGGAATCCAGGGAATCTTCGAAGAAATTCCGGGAATATCCGGCGAGAACCCGAGAGTTTTCGGCAATATCCGAGGAACTGCCGGGATGATCCGGGGGATATTCGGCGAAATCTTGGGAATCCCGCTGACTGAGCACAGGGGCAGGGAAGGTGTACCCCGCATCGCACGCCCAGCACGACAAGCAGTCCTCCGGGTCACACTCCTTGCAGTGCGGCACCTCGCAGCGGTCACACTTGCAGCCCGCGCCGTCCCCGAAGACCTCGTAACCGTAGTCACACTTATCGCAAGTGTCGCAGTCCTTGCCGCATACGGCGCAGTGTGAGATCGAGCACTCGCAGCCGCAGGCGCTCCTGTCGGCGCTGGGCACCTCGTTGCCGGCGCAGACCAGGCACTCGTCACACTTTTGGGGGTCGCACTTTTCGCAGCCTGCAATGGCGCACTCCGGACAGCCGCAGGACTTGCGGTCGCTTGAGAGGACGAGAAAGGGGTTGCAGGTGTCGCACTGGCGGGGAACAGAAAGAAGTGTGAGAAAACAGGCCAGGAAAATGAACCAATGTAGTCTGAGAATGGTAAATGAATAAATGGGTCATAAACGACAAATTAAATCGAAGAATGTTGCACGTCCGAACTCTGCAAAAACAAAGACACAAGGGATCCGCCCGGAACATGGACAAGTTGCAACGCCCCATGTACCGTATATATGGGTATATACCGTACGTATGGGTATATATGGGTATATACCGCACGGGCACTTCAGTAACAAATCGAGTGTAATTGGTAGGTATCTGATTTACTGACTATCGCCCCAGCTATTGACACAGTTGGATAACCAACCAATTAATGCGCTGGGTAAACTATTGCGGAATGCGGTGCACTCTTTATTATTATCGTCATAAACAGCAGTGGGACGCTGTTTTGCAAGGGCATCAGCCAGCGCAACAGAGCAAGAATGCCACCTTCTGGTGTATGGATCCCAAAGAACCACATTTGAACTGTTTAGCGGATAACACTTTTCCATAACCGCAAGGACAAAAGTATCTGGTCACACTTCCTCTCCGCTGTCGGCTGATTCGTGCCATAGTCATTCCTTAACTACTATAACAACACCACATTTGCTCTGAAAGGAGATTCCGCAATCGCTTACACAGGGAATCCGAATGAATACATCGTTACAGCAACGGCGGCGCCCGCAAGAACGGTTACGCACCTTGTAACGGTTCAGTGGGTCACACTTCTCGCAGTGCTCCACCAGGCACTCGCTCCAGTCACACTTCCTGTCCACGGTCAGCTCGTACCCTTGACCGCAAACCAGGCACCGATCACACTCCTCGGCGTCACACTCCGCACATCCTGTGACCTCACAGGACGCGCAGGAGCACGTCTTCCTGTCGGTCGACAGGATGGCCCCCGGCTCACACATTTTGCACTCGTCACACTTCAGGGGGTCACACTCCAAGCATCCGAAGACAGGACACTTTGGACACACGCCGGCCTTGAGCCACGAGTCGTCGGGATGGCAGGGGCAGTCGGCCTCGTGGGCGCAGGGGCAACCGAAGCCCATCCTGGGCACCACACACATATCATTCATTAGTACAATTACCAAAATATTTTCACCACTAATACACGATTCATTAATGTAAGAATCCATTTATTTGGCGAATAAATACAAATAGCATTTGTGTCAATTAATTGCTTAGTACCACACAAGTGCGAAACATATGCATAATGCCAAGAGGTGGACGATATGCACAAATCTTGAACAACAATGTGAGACGACAACGGAAGAGAGGAGCTGGCGGCTTCGTGAGGGCAGGGGCAGCCAAACAGTTCCCCAGCAGAAAGAAACCATTCAAAATTTTTGTTCACGTTATTGGAATGATCAAATTAATGTTCAACATTCAATTGCTCGCTGATTGAATAGGTGGAACGTTTGATCACTTGCTTGTTTATTGCGGCATAGTGCATACGCGTGATGAAAACGAAAATGTGGCACGACGGACACAGAGAGGGGAGTGGGTTCTAGGGTTGAGGGCCAGCTGCAACCATTTTTGTGGACCGAGCATCCGCTCGAATGAGCCATTGAGCAAAAAGAGGCCCAAGCTCAAGTGCTCATTGAATTTGGAACGTTACATATCCAGCATCCACAGTTCGTCAATCAAAAGCTTTTACCACGCATTGCGCAAATCCAAATGCATCACAATTCAAGTCAATTTTTCTACCATGCCTTGTGCAAATCCAGAATGCATTCTCAGCAAATAAGCGCAAGTAGAAACAACAAAATAGCATGGATCGCAAATCGCTAAAGTGTGAACAAACATGAACGAGAAAGTGCTTTGATCAGATGGCCAGATACCGCAAGAAGTGTAGACGGGGAAGAACACTCACCCAAGGTAGTGCATATGACGGAAGGTAGATTCCGGCGAGCTTGTACCATCTGCGATGCAAGGAAGAAATCGCGCGCGGTGACTGTGGGTTGGATGGAAGAGAGCGTGTCCCCAAATCAATAAATGATCATTTAATAAAGTTAATGAATAGAGTTATCAAATATTGATTGAATATATAACAAAGGATTATTTACGAATATTACCGCTGTATTTAATACATTGGTCTCTGGCCTCAGATCCCCCGCAGGAGCGCAGAGCTGGGGGCAACAGCGAAAACTGGAGCGCGGCTCCCATTGCACGATTTGAATCCTTTGTTCGGTGCACAACGAATGCCAAGTATCCAACATGTTGTTTTATTCCCATCGCTACTTAATCAATTGTGCATCACGTCTGTGATCCAATGCTTGCATGTAGCAAAGATCTGACCATGTGTGAATTATCATAAGGCAGTGCACCATTCAGAGCAATCAATGCATTCAAAGAAGAAAGCATGCGCAGTGTGAACAAGCAATTCGGTAGCGAGGGCGCGCCACGTTTTGATCGAATGGCTCATGAGTCGCGTGGCAGCGTTTGTCCCTTTAGTTCCCCCTTTCATGAAATAGCCTTACGCAAACTGGTACTGGGTAGTTACAGAGTACTAAGCACCGCAAGTGTTCTGGCAAATACTACAATACGTCTAAGTATTGGGCCATAGCTGCGCCTTTTCTTTCGTGGACTTTTACCATACCTCTCACATCCTTTGGGAAAAGGAAGGGTGCAAGGCTTGGTACTTTGTGGTGCTTGCTTGTGCAGCCTCTCAAAACGGATGCTGAATAAATCGACAGTAAAAATGAATCAGCAAAGTGTAGAATTTACTCACCCAGCCTTCCATTATCACCACTGACACCCCAGGAAACGCCGGTGGCGAGTAGGCACAAGTAAATCGCCAATAGCCGCCTGACCGCCATTCCACCAGCAGCCTGCGGGTCGATCCACAAATTAGATATCAATTGATTCACCCTTCATACGATATAGCAATGAAATCTAGATATCTGCAGTATAGAGATGCCATGCATAAAATTATATTGAATGTAATAAACGTAAGAACTGTACCGCTATCAATTAATATCAGCAATTGATTACTATCAGTTATGGTAAATGCATACATTAATTCTGTTCCGGAACCGCTCCATCGCAGTGCTATTCGGCTGCAGGTTGAACGTGAAACATGCTTGCCATAAGGAAGCACAGAAGGAACGGAAGAAGGGTGGGATGGAGGTGGGGGTGGGGGGGATTGGGGTGGCGGGCTGTTGTGCCAAAAATTAAATATATGTGTAGTAAATACGCTAACTTTAAATTTTTGGACACATTCATAGCAAATGTCTTAAATGCAATAAGAGTAAACTAACAAAGTGAATGGGCCGTCTGTCACGTCTGATTTTACACCGCCTCATTGTTGAAGGCCGCAGCGAGGGGAGGGGGGAAGGGAGGGCACTGCCTTCAGCCGTGTTCATTTCCTGTTACGGCGCAACGCGAGGTCGAGGTGTGCGGACAAGTGACGCATCACGGCGCGAAAAAGCGTAACCAGAGCCTTCCGCTACAGGGAACGAAATTTTCACGAAAGTGACCTCGCCTGGCTCGGGGCAACCTTAAGAAAGGAAGGGTTCGGCGAACTAAGCGAGTTTAGGAAGTGAAAACGAAAGGAACTCAGGAGCTTTAGGAAGGATCTGTGCCTCCTTGCTGGCTGCCTGCAGGGAGCGCGAATTCCTTGTCGCAGTGGTACATGGTGTCTCCTGGACTGGTGGTTTCTTGTTTCAAGTAGCATGTCCTGATTTGAAGAGGACCTAATTTGAAGAGATCCGCATCGCACGTTGCTAAGAACCAAAAACAAGCATTCGAATTGCCTACAGCGTGCGCCACCAGTGATGTCGCTAGACGCCTCGCTACAGTGTTGATGCTGTGCTGATGCCGTACTCGGGCGGGCCCACTTTTTGAGGGCGTTACGATTAGCGCAACGTGGGGCAAAACGCGAAGTTAGTGCTCTGGCGGCTTCAATAAAGTACTGGCCAGACGTTGTTTTGCTGTTAATATACTGTAGTAGTTCAGATACAGATACCAGGCCTGGTAATGTGCACACACGTGCTCCTAGGAGCGTGTGTGCGCACAATAGCACCCTGCCAGAATTCAGTGACTGATTTCTTTGCAGACGAATGCATAGGGCATGTCCAGCAGCCAATCGTCGCTAAAAATGGCCCGTTGAGGGGCACAGCTGTCGCCAGCACTTGACCGAAGCTGAAAATGGCATAGTGACACAGTACTTCGTGCTGCAGCAGCCCCACATGCGTTTGCGCAAGCCCAAAGTGATACACGCGCAAACCCAAATCACTGATTCTCACAAATGGGGCCGTTGACTTGCCAGTCAAATCGTTATTCCCAGAGGGGTGTTTAGTAAAGAACTCCGGTCTTATTAGTTATTATCCCCAATTTCGATAAGCGCCGTCATTGCATCCGTTCAGGGAGGCGGTGCGGCGGCACCCGCACAACGCCAGGCCCACTAACGCGAGCCCGTGGTCACACTGGCACAGGTCAGATTTAGTTCCCGAGGTACAGTGCCAAAGCACGCGGGAGTGCGGACGGGCCCGACGTACAGGTCGAATGTTGTCCCCGAAGTACATTGCTAAAGTACACCGCGGATGGCGGTCCCGATGTACAGAGTGCTGCGTTCAAGTACGGGGAAGATCCAGTGACAGAATCTGCCCAGCATCTGGCGTGTGGCTGACAGTGCGCCTGCCACCACACACCGTGTCGCCAATTCCAGGCGCCGGTGTCCGCCCGGATCCCCAACCACGGACCCTGTCGGCTGCCGCCCGCGCCCCAGAGCCTGTCGGAAGTTTGGTCAACTGGTCAACGCTGTGGCCAACGGGTCAACGGGGCTGTCCCAACGGGTCAACTGGGCCGCCCCAACAGGGCGATCCCAACCTGGTTGTTATTTTGGGAGGGATCAGAAGGTGGTGGGAATTGTATCCGTCGAAGGTCTGGGGCTGTGTACGACCGAGGGAGGGCGCCCCCGCGGCATGGGTCCCAACCCAGAGATTGCCGAGCGCCCTGGATACTGCCGAAGTGTTCAATGGTCCTCGGTTCAATGGGTGAACGGCTTAACGGCAACTTGGCGGCCATCGAGAGCCATCCGCAAAATGCGCACTTGGAAAGATTCTGGCGGTTCCGTACGACCCCTCGCGGCCGTCGGGGGCCGAAGCGGCGCGCTGAAACGGCGATCCACGGGCGGCTTGCGTTGACCATCTTGACCGATGTGAGTAATGCAAGCCGGGAGGATTGACCACATGCACGACTGTATCGATCCGCACATCCGCGCCTGTTGTCAATGCCCCGCGACTTCCAGACAAGGCAATTGGCCCCGGGTGGCGAGAGGGCTCCACAGATCGACGAACCCACGGCGCCCGCAATAAGATTCGCACTGATCGCGATCCCATTCGCCATCGCGCAACGGCGGCGCGGCAACCGCTGGCCGCCATCTGAGAGAGAACCGCGCCCTCCACGTCACGCAGGCAATGGCCGAAGTTGACCAATCCGCCGCAGCCCCCAAAGAAGCGCGTAGCACACGCAGACATCTGTGAATCCAACCCAAGCCCCTGACCCCACTCTCAGTCTCAACAAGAAGTTCTCCAGCGTCATTTTGCCCATTTTACCAACCGATCGCCATCTGGAACCAGCCTGTCACTGACATGACAGCCAAGGCAGTCGCCCCAGAGATCGACGGCGCCCCTTTCTGCCGCACCTGAACGAGACCGCCTCCGGGCGCCGCCGCACGTTGACCAGAGTCAACGCTCCTTGGCCAGAGTCAACGCAAAGTCAGCGCCACCGCTCCGCCCCCGCCTCCTCTGGGGTCGCCGACGCGCCGCGGGCCGCGGGGGCCTTGAGGAATCTTTTAATGTTCAGTGGTTGAGGGGGTTTGGGTATCGATACGTCATTTTCCGGCGTTACGGTTTTTACGGTGTCACGGTTTTCAACGGGGTGGGGGGTGGATGCCGGTTGGAGTGATGAATGGAGCGAACGGATTCTCAATGGGGACGGGGGGTGTTGGTTGAGGCAGGCTTGGTCCTTACGGTCGTTTTAGGTTATATGCATGAAATATAAGCACACAAAAGAGGCTATTCTTAGAATTAATTCTACGAATTTAAAGGAATTTAAATTATTTCTAGAAAGTTTACGTCCGTTACGTCTGTTGCTGCTCGTTGGGACAAATAGGTTACATGGAGAAGTCCCACACAATGATCAGCCCTCCGCACTGGCAACGCAGCGTTCACCTCACCCTTGGCAAGGGCGATGGCGCCATCGCATGACGTACGGTCGGTACGTACGTACGGTACGGAAGGTCGTCCGTACGTGCTTGGTGGATGGCCCAAGCACTCCCTTGCGCCCCATGGCGAGCGAAATCGACAGTTGGCCACTGTTTGACCAGGCAGCGTAGGCTCAACGTGCAAGGGCCGGCGTGTGCTCCTGTATTTACGCATTTTTACGCCGATTTGCACGTAAAAACGTCAATACAATGTTCACGAATAAACGGCAAAACGGCAATTTTTGCGACGCTGTGTTGACACTTAAATGGGACTATCGCAAGGGCTGTGACGGCGTAAGAATAGTTGCGATGGCACCAATTACTGTGCAATTCACTAGCCTAAAAAGAACCAAGCCATACTTTTTGCGAACACATATATACGCATTTCATCAGTGAAATTCAGTGAAATTCTGCATGCGAAAAACACGAAAATAACGCAAACGCGTAAACTTTTACACGTTTGAACACGTGTCATTTGGTGCTTTTTTCCAGTGATGAGTGTGGATCACAAAAAGATGTTTCCACAGGTGGCTGTCCTCGCGTCAGGCTAAGTCCGACGGCATCAGCGTGTAGACTCAGAAGGCAGCCCCAAAACGGATATCGGGCTCATACATCTATTTGTCTATGTCTGCCATGGTTTGCTGCAAGTGACACCAGACGCTATTATCTTCCTTTTAATTTGTGGCATCCTTTGTTGACATTCTGGCGTGTTTCTCCTGTTTTCAGGTAAAATTTCCGGGTGTCATGTGGTGTCAGAACTCAATGCGCCCGCCTTGAGTGACGCATGCCCCAGGACAGATGTGTGCCACGTGGCGACCATCTGAACGATGCAGTAACAAAGACCGGTCAGAGAACTGCCACGCACGGCCGCCATACACTGGCAACACCAACAGAATACGGCCTTTTGCCGAAAAGCTTTCTGCGCTGCCGTTCGACGCACCAGGTCCAAGGGAATGTGTGGGAGGCTATTTGGAGTGGAGACGTGCATGGCGTTGTGCACCCCACCCTGTTGGCCAACATGGGCGCCAGCCCAGCCTCTGGGCATGCACAAGCATTGGAACCTTTCCGGAATGCTGGCTAGGTGCGCGACTGCGACGCCAGTGGACTGGGCTTGGACGTCCAAGCTCAGTTCGGCTTCGGCAAATCGCTGTGGCGCACTGATGGCTAGCAGTCCTATAGGACGAGGCAACGGCCCCGCGGTGGGGCAACCTGAATCCCCAGTGGGTATATGACCCCGAACGTCCACTAAGAATGCCAATCTTGATGGTGTTTCGACACAAAGTGGAATTATCACATTGACTGCTGTGGGGCAAGGTAGGCTGGATGGCATCAATTTTGTCACGCGCCATTTTCAGTTGGTATTGCAAACTTGTCATTTTCTGCCTGCGTAGGGTTAGCACCCCGAACGCCTAGAAGGTCTATTACCCATAATTGGACGGCAGTCGGGGTTGGGGTCCCGTGGCACATCCCGACCTCCTCGATCCCGTCGAACGTTGCGGCACGTTGGGGCAATAGTACTTTATGGTACTTGGGCGGAGCAATTTGTCCTGAAAGAGTGCTTGGATAGACATTCGTCAATCGTCGAATTAGCAGACTAATTGATGCCTTCTCAGCTACCTGGAGACCATCGGCGTCACTTGTTTTCAAATTGGCGTCGCAGTTTGCACCACAGCGAATTGTGTTTTCTGGCCAGTGACATAAATTTAGATGGTGCCTCTTCTTGACGAGCACAGACGGACGGGGTAGAGAGCGACGGGGCGAGGGCGGCGGTCATCAATGCCCAGGAGGCCGCGCCAAGGGGAATGGCGCATAGCCCTAGAAGAGAACTCCAGGCTCGCCTAAATGTGCGCAGGCGTTTTCGTACGTAATAGTATGTCTTTTGTGGGCTGGCCATCTCGCCGGCAGGCTGCCATTAGTGCTCACGATATTAGTTGCCATCACTGGAGCAAGACGCCGTTTTGGGTCGCCATGTGCAACATCATCTTGGCACCAATTGACGCCATAGAAGTGGCTGCAGTGGCACCAAAGCGCCCGCGACAGTATAATCCAGTGCCAAGTGGCATTCCAGTTGGCATCACCAGAAGAGTGTTTCCTACTGGTGTCTGGCTGCCAGTGAAGCACACTGCTTCATCGTATGCTATCATGGGGGAGGAAGAGCCGCGGGCGGAAGACACGATGTTTACAATGCCGGCAGCGATGCCATTTGGCGCTATCAGCGTCTACCACACGTCGCTTAAACAGCGCCATCACAGTGGTTGCGATGGCACAAAGTGCTCTGTGATGATATCAATTATAATTGAGATTAATTAGTGCCGAATGGCATCGGCAAAATGTCGTTTCTGTTGACAAGTGCGACAAGAGGCGATTTGCGGCTGGAACTGCAGCAAGCAAAGGCGATATGTCTGATCGTTAATCATTGATGATGCGCTGAGCACCTTGGCTCTCACGACGAAGATTGAAAGACTCAAGGCCAGAGGGAGTCCAGCTAAGCAACCCAAGGGAAGTGGAATTTTAGGTAGTGAAGAGAAAGATGGGTGACCAGCAATCGAAGCATTAGCTGCGGAAGTCCAAAAGCTCAGGACCTTTGCATGCGATGGCTGCGAGCATCAGTCAAGGGACCTGAATGATAGGATAGAATCGTTGACATCTGCGTTGAGGAGGTGAGGAAGTGGGCTGACATCCACAGTTGGTGATCTGCGTGTGGCCTGGTACCGTGCTTCCTGCTGATAAAATCGAGGCAGAAGAGCCCACAGCGACTTTCAAGACTTCCAGAACATTGTGACTGGTTTGCTTCCACTCCCGTTGTACTCAGTCCGAGCACCTGCATGCCCTTCCCTAATTTCATGACAACGTCTCAAGCGTGCGAATCTGTGGGGCCTCCTAGATCTACTCCTCCCCTATCTCCGCCCTGTCTGCCCTGCCTCAACTGAAGCATAGGCGAGCTGGTCCGCATGAATTGTCGTCTTGCGCTGTGCTGTTCGGGGCTCTGTGACGCACCGGGAAGGGGCGCGGCGCCCTTCCATCCCATGCACGATGCCCAAGCACCCTGTTGCCAACCCCTGGTGCCCGTCAAAGGAGCGATTGTGACCAACGGACCGCCGGGGACAGCGCAACAGCTGCGTTTGACCAGCTTGCATGTTTAGTGGGCTTGGCAACACAGACCGTCCAGCTTGGCCTGGCACGAGCTTGCACCCAAACATTTGGAGGGCACTTCCGTGCTGGCAGGCTTGGCCGGTCCCGTGGACCTTGGCAGTGGGTGGGTGTGGATTCCAGCTGCAGTGCATGCAAAGGGGGGTGGACAAAGCGGCTGTGGAGTTGTTGGAGAGGACTGTCTATTGTTGCCACGCATCGCATAATGCTCTGGCATGCGGACGCTTTGCTGCAAGGTGCCCGTGGTCATGCAACGGCCATTTTGGTAGGCAGGGCAGGAGGGGAGGCCGGCTGGCCCATGCAGATTTCTGGCGACGGCAGGCGAAAGGTGGGGGGCGTTGGATAACTGGTTGCTAGAACTCCACAGCAATAGGACCGGTGTTTTGTCTCGCATTCGAGGTGTATCGAACGTAGGCAGTGCGGCGGCTGTCGATGGCAACGCAGTCATTCAGATGTGTATAGAAAGTGTGCGCCAGAAGTGGACGAAATTTCCGGGCGCCCAGGCACCTCTTGTTTTGACGCATTCGCTCTGGAGTGGCACAGTGACCTCGTGGCCGCCCAAAGCCTCGGCGAAGTGTGGCCACACTTGTGCCAACACTTGTGCCACACAAGTGCCAGCACTTATGACTGAATGGCAGGGATGCGGATTGAGGGTGGTGGGTGGGCGGGCGAGGGGGAGGGGGGGGGGATACGATCGAGGGTGCATCGTCAGGCGTACGGAGAATCCCCCCTCTCCTGTCCACTGCTTTTCGTTCGACCCGTTATGTCCATTATCATCATCATCACCATCATCAATAGTCAAATCTGTAAATATCTCACCACTGTCTTAGGTGCCTTGATCGATCGCTGCTGCTCTTTTTGCATTCTCCTGATGAATCACAGCCACACATCCCAGGCGCACACCTCGTGCACAGCTTGCACTGAATTGCGCTGCAGTGTTCGGGAACTTTCCATACCGTGCCAAAGACACCAAAGCACCGTTATGTTTACAGGGCAGCGGGTACCCTCCACATTGCATTTCGTTGAGGTTCATGTGAGAAAACTCGTGAACAGCCCCAGACTCCTTGCCCCCCCTAGGCTGTGAAAATAACACCTTCCGCTACTGTCGGCACAGCGTGGAAAAACGTGCCCAATGCTCGAAGTCCACAAAAACGAATTGCGCCCACGCACACCTCGCCCACGCGCCAAGCCATCCCGCCTGATCTGGGAAGTCTCTCCACCCCCAAGCGGTCGCGCTGGATGGCGCTGACGTCACGGCTGCAGGGTTTGTCTGTGCCTCGGCTCGTGACGCCGAATCTACAGAATCTAAAGAACCTACAGAATCTGAAGACCTACAGAATGTACAGGATCCGGAGACCCACAGAATCTGTGGACGGAACCCGGACTACAGAATCTGCAGACCTGTGGACACGTCTGCCCCACAGAAGTCCATGCCGCCATGTACACCTCTCTGGCGCCGTACCCCACCGAATCTGCTGAATCTAAAGGGTCTAGGAGCCTACAGAATCTGTGGACGGAAGCCGCACTGAAGTATCTGTAGGCCTCTACACGAATCTGCACAACAGACGTCTACACCACCGCCATGTGCACCTCGCTGGCGCCATAGCCGCCATCGCCGTACCCGCAATCGGGGTCCTCTTCCTTCGCCTTGGTGGTGCACGGGTTGGCGCACAGGCACTCGTACTCCTTGTTGTATCCCTTGTCGTAGTTCATGCAGTAGCCCTTGTACGGCTCGTTCTCTATATTGTACCCCGCCCGCATGGCCGTCTTGCAGACGGTGTACTCGATAGTGGAGTCGCCGCCGTAGCCTTCACCAGGACCCGCCCAAGCAACCGGCTCCTTCTCAATCAGGTGGCAAATGTCCCTGCAGTTGCCGTTGCCAGCACACTCGTCTCCCAGCTCGCAGTGCTCCTCTGCTCCAAGCTCCTTCTTGTGCTGGCGCCTGATCCAGCCGCTGTCCAGTGGCCCGTCCACAGTCTGGCAGATGCAGTAGAAGGAGGTGGAGTTCGCGGTGTGGACCTGACTGGAGTCATATCCGGTTGTTCCGTATTCCACCACGCAGAGCTCTGGGTGTGTCTTGTCCCAGTTGTTGCCCGGTCGGTAGCCCGCATCATCCAGGTCGGCGAAGCACGGGTAGGCGTTGCCGTACTTGCCCTGGAAGCCGCTGGAGACGGCCAGCGGGTGTTCAGCGCTGTGCTCAGCGCAGACCTTGTCGCAGGACTTGCCGTCAGACTCGATGGGCACCCAGTCGCAGCCTGCGCACAGCCAGGAAAGTTTCTTGAATAAAAAACGACAATGAAAAAGACTTTGAACAACTGATATGAAAATTGCTTACACTAAAATGTGTTGGAAATCAAGCGACATGAAACGCGTGCAACATAATCTGCCAGTTCATAAGTCGGGCTTCCTGCCCAACATAGTGCGTTTTGGTCGTCAGATTCGACGGCCCCCCAGTCGCAGTCTGCGGACGGTGGAGAAGCTTCTTGAACGAGAAATGGAAATGAAAATGGGGTGAGAAGAAAATGATACCAAGTTTGTCGAACTGAAACGTTTGGCAATTCAGTACTATAGAGAATATGCAATGTCGTATGCTGAACGCAGCCAAATCTTTTTTCAAGGCACCTCCAGTGAAAGTACTGGAACTCGGGCCAATGGGGACTCATTCGCGGCCAGAGGATGTGCCCACAGTGAGGAAAGCCTGTTAGAGACAGACCAAATACAAAAATGTAAACTAACAACTGGAAGCAATCAAATGAAAGAGAAGCAAAAATTGAGAAAAGAAAGCAGAAATGCGCAATAACCAGTAAAGAATGGTAAGCTGAAAAATGGAGTAAACAGAAGTATATGCCATTGCAGTGCGGTAGCATAGTGAGCAAACAATGGAAAATGAACGTTGGGCAACTCACTTCTCTCCTCCTCCAGGCAGTACCCGCACTTGGACAGGATCAGCCCCTTGTCGCACTGCACGCACTTGCAGTTCTCGTCGCAGGCCGTGCACCCGGCAATGTGGTCGCAGGCGCAATCGCAGGACTTGCCGTCGTAAGACACCACGTGGTTGACCTCGCATTCCTTGCAGGTGCCGCACTCGTAGGGGTCACAGGTCACGCACTTGTCGATGCCGCAGGGTGGGCACGCGCAGCCGTAGGCATCCACGACCTTGCCGTGCGCGCAGATGCCGCACACCGAGCAGTCGCTGGGGCTGCATGCCTCGCAGTCATCGACCTTGCACTCCGGGCAAACGCAGCTCTTCTTGTCGTCGCTGAGCACCAGCCCGGGCTCGCACACCGAGCACGTGCCGCAGTCGCTCGTGCAGCACTTCTGGCACCCCGGGATGCCGCACTCGCACTCGCAGTTGCCGTAGGAGTCCAGGGTCAGCCCCTCCACGCAGATGCTGCAGACCTGGCAGTCGGCCGGCCCGCAAGTGTCGCAGTTGTCGACCGTGCAAGCAGCGGGATCGCAGTCGCATGTGGGCTCCCCGTACCCCGGGTCGTTGAGGATGTACCCATCGTTGCAGACGGCGCACTTTTCGCAATCTTCGGGATCGCAGGTCTTGCAGTTCGTCACGTCGCACATCTCGCACGGGCAGTCCGTGCCGCCGCTGGGGCCGTACCCGTGCGTGCACTTCTCGCATTTCGTGCAGTCGCTGGGGTCACACCTTTCGCAGTGGGGGACTTGGCAGGATGCACACTCACACTCGCCAGAAGGACCAGGGGCGTAGCCATCAATGCAGACCGTGCCGCAGACGCTGCAGTCGTACACGCTGCAGGTATCGCAGTAGGGCACGTCGCAGGTTGCGCAGACGCAGGTGACGCCGTCGTCGGCCAGCACGTAGCCGTCCGCGCAGACCTTGCACACCCCGCAGTCGTCATTGTCGCATGTCTGGCATCCGGGCACGGCGCAGTGCTCGCACTTGCAGACCTTGTCCTTGTCGCACCACTTGAAGCCCACCTTGCACATCTTGCACACGGTGGGGTCGTACTCGTCGCAGATGGCGCAGTGCGGCACGTTGGCCTCGCAGTCGTGCACCTCGCAGGTGGGGAGGGCGGGAACCTCCCCCGGCTCGTAGCCCGTGGGCGGAAATGTCAGATCAAACCCATCCTTACACTTCAGGCACTCGTCGCAGTTCTCGGGGCTACATTCGGCGCAGTTGTCCACGGCACACTCGGCGCACTTGCACTTGGCGCCGTAGTCGATGGGCTCGTAGCCGTATGCGCACTTCTCGCAGGTGGTCCCGTCTGGGCAGACCACGCAGTTCGGTAGGTGGCACACCTCGTCGACCTTGCATCCCCCGTAGGAGATGACGTCGCCGTTGATGCAGTCGATGCATTCATCGCACTTCTCCGGGTTGCAAACCTTGCAGCCGTTGATGGGGCACTCGGGGCACTCGCAGGCCCTGCCGTCGCTGGCCAGGGCGAGGAATGGGTTGCAGGTCTTGCACTGTGGGGACGCGCGCACAAAAGATGGTTGGAAAGAAGGTCTATAGACATTAGCATATGCCTGAAAAAGGGAATTACAAACAGGTGAACAACAGATGATCAAACAGATGGTCGTGTGATATTGCTGTTGCTAGGAAGCACATTAAATCCACAGCACAGCTTGGAGACATTCGTACGCGATTGTCATAACAGGAGTGCAGAAGGTCGTGTCACAGGCACCCTGCTGGCAGAGCAGTAGCGTGGCTACCGCGAGCAGCAGTAGAGTGTGTGCTGGTCCTATGAGCGTTGAGAGGCAATCTGCAGATTTACATTGCTATGGGGGCAGCACACACATATGCGTACACAGGACCTGAGGCTCACCGTCCCTTTGTTAGCAACATCGCATGCTGTGCATAACCCCTTGAGTAACAAACCCATAAAGTGTCAGGGTCTTGAAAACAGCATCTTCTATAGCACTGCAAGCATAAGATAGGCTCCACCTGTGCATGACACAGGTGCACATGCATGGCAAATGCATGCACAATAAACATGCCATTAGCCAAGGAGCGAGATCGCCACGATGATGGAGTCTCCGATGTGGAAGCTGTGCACAGAATGCCACAGGCCTGGAAGCACCACTACACGATGGGGTGGTTTCTGGATTCCTAAAAGTGATGCAACATTTGCAAGACAAACGAATGCACTGTGTAGGAAAACCCTGTGCAATGGTTGATTTCGAGCAATAGTTGATTTCGAGCATAATGTTTGAACTCACAAATGGTGGCATCACCCACCTTGTAGCAGTTGTCTGGCTCGCATGTCTCACAATACGGCACGTGGCAGGTGTTGCACTCGCACTTCCTGTCCACCCCCAGCTTGAAGCCATGCTGGCACACCAAGCACTTGGAGCAATCCTCAGCATCGCACTCCAGGCACCCGGTGATGTCACAGGACGGGCATGAGCATGTCTTCCTGTCATCTGACGGGACTGCACCATCGCAGCACCTCTTGCACTCGTCGCACTTCAAGGGGTCGCATTCGCCACAGGCATAGACTGGGCATGACGGGCACTCGTCGTTGTCAAGCCAAGTGGTGTCCAAATGGCAAGGGCAATCGCCAGCAAAGTGTCCCTCATGGGCACATGGGCAACATTTGCAAGACAAACGAATGCACTGTGTAGGAAAACCCTGTGCAATGGTTGATTTCGAGCAATAGTTGATTTCGAGCATAATGTTTGAACTCACAAATGGTGGCATCACCCACCTTGTAGCAGTTGTCTGGCTCGCATGTCTCACAATACGGCACGTGGCAGGTGTTGCACTCGCACTTCCTGTCCACCCCCAGCTTGAAGCCATGCTGGCACACCAAGCACTTGGAGCAATCCTCAGCATCGCACTCCAGGCACCCGGTGATGTCACAGGACGGGCATGAGCATGTCTTCCTGTCATCTGACGGGACTGCACCATCGCAGCACCTCTTGCACTCGTCGCACTTCAAGGGGTCGCATTCGCCACAGGCATAGACTGGGCATGACGGGCACTCGTCGTTGTCAAGCCAAGTGGTGTCCAAATGGCAAGGGCAATCGCCAGCAAAGTGTCCCTCATGGGCACATGGGCACCCCAACTCGTCCCTGCACGAGATTTGCACGCATCCATTAGTTGACAATCTGATTGGACAATCCAATGGGCAAGTCACCTGCAAGTTGACCATCTGGAGAGCCATGAACCGCAGGGGGTAACAACCCAGGGCAAGGTCATGGTGCGCACACCCCTGGAGGTCCAGCTCGCCTATACATTGCGACTGGGCACCCTCACAGTACGTCTGCGAAACCAGGGCGCTGGGATCCAGTGCGCTGCAGCATGATTACCAAATTGCCACACGTGCACTATGTTGGGCAGCATAACATGTAACAAACGTGGCATGAAGCACTGCTGTCATAAAACACAGTTATGGATGCAGCGTTTTTCGCAGTGCCGATGCAACTCAGGACATGGAAAGGCCTGAGCAGAATCTATAAACAAGCATCTGAGTAGGTGAAAGTATGGAGTACCCTTACAAGGATATCTGCTCACAATACAGTTAGTCATGATGACAGAGCAGGGCAATACAATATAGCACAGTGCCGTCCACGCACCCAACGTGCAGAACTTTGCGGGCGCCCTTCAACCCGTCCTCTTGGCAATCTGCAACGCAGAGCAAGCTGGCTGCCAGCAGCCAGAGGCACCCAAGCCGAAGCACTGAGGAACCCATTTCCCCACACCTGGGCAAGCACAGGGCACAGTCAGAGAAGCGCAGTCGTGGCCAGCAGCAGATCTGCATCGTCGCAAATCTGCAGTGACCCATGTGGCAAGCCCCTTCTTTGAACCCAGTGCTCACCCCTTTCTCATTCTCATCTGTTTATCATGCAAATGCTTTGCTTGCCACAGATCTCCAAACTATGCTATTTACCATATATTCCAGGGATGAAAAATTATCCATTCCATACGCTTTCTGCCCATGTGCTAGCAGCACCAAATCGATGACAATAGCAATTCGTTTGCTTTCAGGTATCCAGCTTTTCACAGGTTTTAAGCGTCCTTAGTTTCAACGTTGCGATGTCCAACGCGCAGCAAGGGGACCTGATCGCGTAAACCAAATCGCGTCCTGATGCCATTCGCCACCAGCATTCACAATACCTCGACAAAGACCGTCGTTCACTGCCAGCAGCCAATCTGACCCACGACGAATTTGACCCATGGCGCAGCTGACCGGCAGCGAATGGCGAGTGGCCACTCCTCTCAGGAGCGTAACGCGAAAGGGGAGCAGCCGGTCGCCGACAGGCGACGGCAGAGCCATTCCTCCCGTTCGCGAGGAAAGCGGATGACTAAACGCGCTGACCTTCGCATCTCCGTATCTCGATACTATACCTGGCGCATTGAAACCGTATCAATCGCGGAGACACCCTGACCCGCGGGCGGTCCCGCGGGTCCGCGGCCCCGGGCCGTACCGTGCGTGAATCGTACAATTGTACAGCAGACGGCGCGGGCCCCGCCGCCCAGAGATACGGTTTTACCTAGATCTCGTGGCCAACGAGCCTTATAACCCAGATCCAGACGGATGCCCCTGCAGGCCCGCGGGCCCATGAGGAGATGCGGTGGCCGCCACTCGCAACAGATTCGCCGCGCCGACACTAACTCCACCCCTCGCCACCGAAATTGCTGACGCAGGTATTCGTTGGACGGGAGCCGCACTCCTCACACCCAGCCTGGACGGTCCCGGCATGGTCTACAGCCGCCGGGAGTCCTTTCAAAATTCCAAAGCGCCGCACTCGCGCATTAGTGAGAAGCTGACGGGCGCAGATCAACCGACGGGGCGGCAAAAGGCCGCGGTGGGGCTTGCGTGTCGGTCTGTGGGGCTCGAATCGGTTTGGGCGCCAAGGCATCAATTTGTCAGCCGGTGCGGCGACGCACCGGAAGCCGGCCAGAGAGGGGACGGTACGCCTGAGGCGTGTGGGGACGACCTCCAGGACGCCCGCCAACAGATTCGTGGAACCACGGACGCGCGGAACGGCACCCACGGGGGGCGCGAAAACAGGGCGACCCCAGCGAAGAGCGGTATCTCTTGCCGGCTGATCGACGGCCGGGGTGGGTGGGCGGGTAGGGCCCAGTTTCAGAATCGACTTTCGGGTCGAGGAGGGCGCGCCTCGCCGGGCAGCGACACATGAACAGCTTTGAGGGCGATGACCGACCCGGGCAAACGGCGGTTCTGCTCTCCACGCCATCTGCCCATCCAGTTGGCTCCCTGCTGAGGGCCAAAGGCCGGGGAAGCGACCGGCCGTCGGCGAAGCTCCTCGAACGTCGGTGCCGGTCACACACCACGTGGCCGCCACCGGCCGCCATCCACGCCGCGCCATCGTCACCCCCGCCAACCCACCAACCCAATGTCTGAGAAGCAATGCATTCGATGCAAAAGGGAATCGGGTGCAGGATCCGGGACGGAAGCAATCGTTTCGAGACGCTAGTCACGGAAGCGCCGATCCACCGGTCGGTACGGATGGCGCTTGTCACCCGTGGTGCGCGGCCCGGCGGCGGCCAGTGAATATTTACAACAGTCCCGGAAATGGCGACAAACTCAATAGTCAAGCACATACCCAAAGTCAAAGCCAGAGTCAACGTGAACGCGCATTCGATGCTTGCCGCCATTGGGGCATTGCCAATGCGCTCGACCAGGGTGCGGCCGTTGGAGAGGGCGGCTGACGAGGGCGACAAGAGAGTTCAGGAGGGCGCCGCAAAACGTTGAAGTCAAAAGACAAAACTCAGAAGTCAAAAGTCAGAGTCGGACACGGTGCATGCCGCCAATGCCCCATCGCCAATCCACGACAACCGGGGGCTACCGCTTGAGAGGCCGAGAGGGCGGGGCGGCAATGGCCTTGCTGACTTGGCGGCGCCTCCTAGCACCCTGGCAAACGGAGTGCGCCGGATGGCCGTTGACATGGCGAGCCCGGGCTTGCGCCAGACACAGCGGAATACTGTGGCAGTGGGAAATGGTGCCAGGAGGCGCATTGGAGGTGATCGCGCGGGCCTGAGAGCGTCCGTGTGCCTTTGGGGTCCGCCAACAGGGCCAAAGGGGTGGATGGATCAATCCACATACGCGTGTGGCAGTTCCTCTAGGTCTCTGGACAGGCCATCCTCCTCCCGCCCACAAACACGCCATTGGCAACCCTCTTCCAGAGCCAAATTTTTGCCGAAACCGCGCTCGCTTCGCCAATCGCGCGTGTCGGGCGCACGCGTGCCATATGGGCTCTGGATCAATGGAAGTCTCCAGAAACTGCTGAGAGGACGTCGCTATGAGGGGCATGGCGCCGCCGTTCCGCACCTACTGTTGCCCTTGCGAAGGGGAAGAGCCGCTCGGGGTGCCCGCGAGTGCCGATCCATGGCGGTGGGGCATCTTATAGGCGGCGCTGGACGCGGGCGGGGTGGCAGACGCCCTACCCGGATCGCGGGTGGATGCCACCAGTACATTGGTACACTAGTTGCTGTGGGGAGTGAAGGGCGTAATGTACTGGCCAGTACATTACGCCTCTAATGGGGGCCTGGGCCGTGGATGGGCCCCGTCGAGCCGCAGACGTCGTGTGTGGCGGCTGGTGGGCGTGACCAGTACATTGAGACAGTAGCTGTTGTCAACAGGAGGCGTAATGTACTGGGGGACCCCGGCCGCCAATACAGACGCATCGAGCCGCAGGCGTTGTGCCCCTCGCCCCGACAGGGCGTGGCGAAGTTCTGGCGGGGTGAATGCCAGTACGTTGGGGCAGTAGTTATGGACGGAGGGCACGGAGGGGCGTAATGTACTGGGGATGGGAACGCCAAGGAAACTCGGCGTAATGCACTGGACACGGGACCAGAGTGGATGCGCGAATTTGGATTGCAAATGCGTAACTGCGGTGGGCACAATGAGACAGGAGTTTGAATCACAGTGTGATGTACCCAAGTTAAAATGGGGCCCCTTGTGACCGGAAGACACGTGCTCAGCCTGGCGCTATTTGTGCGGCGTTGTTCCCCTCAAATTGATTTGCGGACAACGGCGACGGCAACCACCCTCCGCTGCAGGTGTGCCATTGCTGCCGTCCTGGCTGCCAGCGGACATGCGACAGGGGCCGTCCCATACCTCCCATCAAACGCTTTTCCAAATTCCATTTTCACATGCTCACTGCCTCAAATTCTACGCGCTCGTCTGCCAAATTTTACCTTTTCTGTGTCAACAGGACAGTTGGCCGGTGATTTGTAACAGTTGCGCATCTTCCATTCAGTAACTAAGCGGATCATTTCACTTCATGCAGTTAATCGGCCTGCTTTTCCTTTTTTTGGCGACGCTCACCGGCTTTCCATGCCAAAACCCTGCATCGTCAACGGTGTTCTGGCTCCATGTGACTGGCCAATCGGTCGCAGCATGTCAGTCTTGGGCCCAAAATTGAGCACATAGGCAACATTGCTGACAATGGATATCCATTTTCAGCAATGGATATACCGATATGACGCAACAGTGAACGCTCCTCCAAATCTGGAATCCTTCGCGCAACCAGCGAAGCCTCCAGAGCAAAACGGCGCTTTTCCATATATCCAAAACACCACATTTTGGAATCGCCAAAATACGGCACTATGCGGTATATACAGTAAAAAGGGTACATTGGAAATCCAATTCCAACTTTACAGTCAGCTGGGTTGCGCAAGAGAGGCAGTTCAGTAATCGATCAAGCAAAGCAAGAGTCTATGCACTAATTTACACAGCAGCTAGAGGCAAAACGCGACAGTTGGACGCGACTCTGCAGCACTCTTCCCTATCCAAAAAGCGGGCAACCCTCCAGTGGCCATCATGTGGCTTTCCTGATCCTATTGACCCCGCTCCTAGCCTAGATGGTCGCTGATTCGCTCGCAAATAATATCCGGGTTGCACATCGTATTCGGGAATGCCGCACACATTGTTGTACGGGCAATCAAAGCAATATGCACCACAGATAGGATCTTGTCAGGATCGCACATTGGCGATTCTGGCCCCATGCCCGAAAAAGATTAGGCAACCCGACTTGTTGATATCTGCCACAGTTCCATTGCTCTCAATTTCCAGCTCGCAGGGCAGCAAACAAGTCTGCCAAAGAATGGCGAACGACGCCTGAATGTGACGTGGAAATGGCCGGGTCGAAAATCGCGACCAACCCAAAAAGAAGCAAGTCAACGAGGCCAAAATACAGCATCTGCAAAAGCTGACTAATCCTCCAGCCCCCGCCCCCAAAAAATTGGCGGTCATCGTGATCACGATGACCTCATGAGGCATTCAGAAGATTTAGATGATCCACACGATTCCGATAAATGATCCGCATGGTCTCGACAGATGACCCACGTGATTCCCAAAATCCTGGCCGCGATATTGCTGACCACCACGGCGCCCTCACGTAGCCAACGCCTCTCCAAAATCGGCATAGGGATGGGTGTAGCCCGTGTCCGCTCCGCAATCTGGATAGTGGCACTCCCCGGCGCAGAGGCAGTCGTAGTCCTCCGACGCCTTTCTGGGCGTCATGCAAAATCCGTTCCAAACGCGCGCCTGGGGCGGGGTCAGCTGATCGATGTTGTAGCCAGACCCGTGGCCGTGCACCCTGCAGATGTAGAAGGGGAACATCTTGTGGCAGTCCCCGTAGATGTGGTTCCCCTGCACGCTCAGCGGCTTCAAGTTTTCCTTGGCGCAGATCTTGTCGCATCCCTCCCCGAAGTGCATCCGGTTGTCCTCCCCTTGCAGGGCACCTTGCTGGTCCTCCCCTTCCAGGACGTCTTTCAGGTTCTCCCTTTTCAGGACGTCTTTTGACACCCACCGCAGCGGCTTGTCGGGCGTCTGGCACAGGCAGTTGAAGGCGGCGCCGCCCTTCCGCTTCGCCTCCTGCCCTTCCTCGGGTTCGGGCCCCGTGTGGTACTCCGCGTAGCAGTGGCCCGTGGCGTTGCTGGGCAAGTTCTCCCCGGGCCTTAAAGCCTCCTTACCCTTCAGGTCGACGGTGCAGACGTAGCTGGGGGGCTTGTAGGGGCCCTCGGGGTCGGAGCTGCAGCTGCTGGCGACGGGGACCGTGAACTTGTTGCTGTAGGCGCAAATCTTTTCGCAGGACTCGCCGTTCCTGGATTCGATGTAGCTCCAATCACAGCCTGTTGGCAAAAAGGCATACCCATCAGTTGGACACCTTGAGGCCCAAACTGCCCATTCTGTACAAATTCTGGTCATTCTCAAAATATTTGCACTATTGAAAATCGCGCAATAGTTGCTCACCAAGCAATCAAATGCAAGCAAAATTTATTAATGATGACGGTAAATTTAGTTCTGGTCGCCCTTGCCAAGTTACACACCAACCGTCCAGGATGACACACAATTGCATTAAAGGCCTTCGAATCTCGGGTTGCAAGAATATTGGTTAGCTCTAGAATTCCCACAATGTTCTCAACATTCTCGTTTGGGCATACCCTTGGCAGGACCATTACGTAGATACAACTATACACTTATCGCTACCATATATGGTTGCCATCGCACAAGTCCCAAGTTGCATTTTGGGGGCAGGGGTGAACCCTTGGCAAGAGCCTGCTGAATACCAATTCTCTGCAAAATGCAGTCCTATTGGTGCAGAACAGAACTCAAACGGATACCCTCCTAAATATGTCTCCTAAAAGGGATCCCCTCACCTGGCACTGACTGGGTTTTGAAGCAATACCCGCAGGACTTGATCAGGTCATCCTGGCACTCATCGCACAGGCAAGTGTCCGGATCGCAGTGGGCGCAGCCCACATTCGCCTCGCAGTTGCACCCGCAGCTCTCGCCGTCCTTTGTCAGATCAAACCGAACTTTGCACTCGTCGCAGAGGCACGTCTCGCTGTTGTAGACCTCGCAGTTGGGTACGTCCCCGGGCGGGCACACGCAGCCGCCATAGCCATCCGGCACCTTGGGGGCCGCGCAAACCTTGCACAGGCTGGCGCAGTCTTCTGGATCGCACTCGCTGCAGTCGTCTAGGTTGCAGTCGGGGCAGGAGCAAGTCTGGTCGTAGCCCAGCACCGCGGGAGGCTTGCATCCCCCGGAGCAGCAACTTTGACAATCAGGTGGGCAGCATTGTTCGCACCCATCCACCGCGCAGTACGGGCACTCGCACGTCAGGCCATCGTCGGAGAGCACAAGCCCCTCTTCGCACTCCAGGCAGGTTGGGCTGTAACCGGTGCAGGTTGCCGGGTCACAAGTCTTGCAGTAATCTATGTTGCAGTTGGTTGGGTCGCATATGCACTTGGTGCCATCCTCGCTGGGCACCAGCCCCTTGTCGCAGACGGTGCAAACCTTGCAGTCCTCGGCGCTGTACTCTGCGCAGTGCTCGACCTCAGACCTGTCACACACGCAGTGCGTGCCATTCCACGCGTAGTCCTCGTCGCAGTGGGAACACGTTTTGCAGTCCGACCGGTCGTAAGTGTGACAGTGGGGGATGGGGGCGTGCGACTTGTCGCAGACGCAGTTCCCCTCGTAGTCCAAAACGTAGGGCTCTTCACACTCGATGCATCCCTGGCAGTTGTCCGGTGAGCAAGTCTTGCAGTAGGGCACGTTGCAGGGGTCGCAGGCGCACTCCCCGCACTCCCCGTACCCCGCCCCCACTATCGAGTAGCCGTCCAGACAGACCGAGCACTGGTAGTAGTCGTCCTCGCAGCACTCCTTGCATCCAGGGGCGTAGCAGGTCTCCACCTCGCAGCTGCCGTCCGCCTTTTTCTTGTACCCAACGTCGCAGATTCCGCACACCTGGGTGCAATCTTGGGGGTCGCAGGCACCGCAATGAGGCACAGAACACAGCGCAGGGTCGCACACGCACTCGTCTGCGGGCAGGGAGCCCGTGCAGGGGTCCCCAAAGACGTAGGTCGGGGGGCTCATGCTCAGGCCATTCCTGGCCCCTTCTGGATAGTTCTTCAAGACGTAGGGAGGCAGGCACTTTCTGCACGTGTCGGCGCTGTAGGGGCAGCACTCCGCGCAGTTTTCCACCTCGCACGCTCTGGCCTTGCACTTGGTGTTGTACTCCACGAGTTCGTAGTCAATTTCGCAAATCCTGCAGGTTTCGCAGTCCTCCTCGCACTCGAAGCAGTGTGGGATCTTGCACTCGCAGCCATCCTTCGGGCAGCTCTTCTTGTCGTAGGACGGCACCAGGTTGCCCGCGCATTCCAGGCACTCGTCACACTTCTGGGGATCACACTTGGCGCAGCCGTATATCGCGCACTCGGGACACTCGCAGGACTTGCCGTCGCTGGTGAGGACCAGCGGCGGTTCGCAGACCTCGCACTGGGCAGGAACGTCATCTCAGTGAGCATTGCCAGATTGTTATCTTTTAATAGACTTACCATAAACGAATATGCAGTTCTTGTATAATTTCGTAATTATGGGAGGGTGCTCCAAAGCTCAGCATTCATAGTACGTGCTTGGATCTCTATCCTGAAAGGCTTTTGCAAGTTTGGTTTGTTGGCGACAAATGACGTTTAGTTGCTGAAAATTTGGGCATTTTGTGCTCTACATTTCCGTGTTTTACATTCTTATGCCATGCATTAAAGCAAAATGCAAATGTGCAGTGTGACATCATGGCAACTAACGCAGTGTTATTGGCCAAGTGCTAATTGCACATTGTGCATGCGTTGAATGCCTAATTGCACACACGAATGCCCAACCCTCAGACATCGATTCTGCGGCAACGTCTGGGGATTTCTGCAGCGCACCCAAAGTCCTTCATACCCCTCCACAATCGTCGATTGACAGTGGCGATCCCATCTCGTGGACAAAACGGGCAGCAGCAGAGCAAATTTGCAGCAGCGGATAAAGTAGACCACAAGATCCATCAAAAAGAAATGGATATGAAATATTCATAAAATAAAGTTGACAAAGCACTAAAACAAGTCAATAAAGCAGTAAATCTGGCAGTTCAAGCAGACAAGCTATCCCAGAAGCCACCCTCGCACACCTTGTATCGGTTGAGCACGTCACACTTCTCGCAGTTGGGCACCGGGCAGACCTTCCAGTCACACTTCCTGTCCACCGACAGCCTGTAGCCCTGGCCGCACACCAGGCACTTGGAGCAGTCCGCGGCGTCGCACTCCAGGCATCCAGCGATGTCACAGGACGGGCAGGAGCAAGTCTTCCTGTCGTCCGACAGGACAGTGCCGTCGCAGCACCTCTTGCACTCGTCGCACTTGAGCGGGACGCAGTCGCCACAGGCGTACACGGGGCATTTAGGGCACACGCCATTCTTCAGCCAGGTGGTGTCCGGGTGGCACGGGCAGTCGCCGGACAAGTGGGCCTCGTGGGAGCAGTGGCACGCAAGGTCTTCCCTGCAATAAATAAGAGTCCGCTATCAGTATACAATACCAAGGCAAGGATGGGGGAATGATCTACAGCTGAAATGGATACATTTTTGCACCACCACACCAACAGGAGCCCAGGAGTTCAGGCGTTTTAGAATGCTTACCAATGTTCAAATAATTCAATATATGTACGTCCAATTATTGCAACTGCATGGCAATGGGAGCTCAAATGCTTACCGATGCGAGCTCAAGAGTTTGCGTGTCAATCTCGCTGCCGCTTCCTGGCCGTCTGGGGGAAGAGAATTCACACATGTGAGAAGATGCGAATCAAAAGGAAGAGAGGGAGAATGTTGGAATGGACGAGGGTTTCAGAATCACTTGATGACATAAGAGGTATGACTAATAGACAAACGTCAGGAGCACGCACGCTTGCTGTCGAGCTACGACGCAGCAGCGTGCAGCAGTGTCTCCTAATTGCAAAGTTCTCTTCAATTACTCCATTATTTCGTTATCTTAGCATTTCAATATTTGCGTTGCAATCAAAGTTTTTGTGCAGAGTTTATACTGATAGTGCCCTTTAAACATCTTAATGGTGGCATGTCATACCAATAAAATCATCCATGTTGGAAATTTCATGTACAATTCCGAAGGCTTTTGGGGTGCCCCAAAGACACTTGAACCTACGTTTAGACAATATGATCCGCAGCGCATGAGTTCTTTGCGCGATTTGGTTCAAACATCCAATAGACACGCGTGCGCATTTACGCAATTTCGCCCAAAATTACACTTAATCCATCATGCACATGCAGCATTCAAACACCTGAATTCAATATTGACTAAAACGCACCCAGGAACTGCAGGTGAATTTTGTTAAAAGTTGAAAAATCTATTGAGAGCTGTCACACCCACCTGCCGCAAGTAAATCCTCGTCCTGGCATTTGGCTGCGCTCAACAAGCTGATCGCCAACAGCGCGAGGCACGCCAAGCGACGGCTGGAGAACCTCATGGTATACCACCTCCTGCACAATTTTCGATCAAGTGTCGGGCTGAGGAACGGCGAGTCAACGCTGCTGCCGTGACAAGGAGTCGAACCACAAACTATTTTGCATATATAAACATATATATATATACATTACATATAACTATTTTACATAAATTTACATTTATGTAAATTTACAAAACCGAAACTGCTGCCTACAAGCGTTCTTTGAAGTGTGGCATATCATCAGCAGCCTCAGCTTTTAGGTCAGCCATCGCCGACGTCCAATGCTTCCAAGTGTCGTCACCGTTAGCAGTATGATTGAACCCATACACAACACCAATGTCAATGGTGTTGGGTCAACCTCATGGAGGGCAATGCACGGCTGTCTCGACGCAAAGTACCTGACCGCTATTATGCGCAAATGAGACCACCCGACGTGCTGCGCCAGAACGCGCCGGCCAGCCACAGGATCGAATCCGCAAACACCGCCAACACCTCCGATCCGATCCAACCGCACCGAAAACTGCCAACACAATCTGCTGACGCCGCTCCAGCCAGGACATCAGTCAACCGGACAGGCGCGACATTCATCAACTGATGGGGCACGACGCGGGCCGAAAAAGGCGCTATCGTGACGTCCATCAGCGGACTAGGCATGACGCATCAGCCGGGAAAACACCGCACAAGTCGATAAAGCGCAGCTCACGGCTCCAAACCCACCAAAAGTCGGGGAAAGCCGATCGGCGCTTTCCAGGGCCGGTGCCCAGTCCACCGATCCCAGTGTGACCATCCCGGCCCCGGTCAACCAATCGGCCACCGCCGGGCCAGAACCCGGGCTCCCGTCCCGGTCCCGGGCCCCCCCGCGCTTTCCGGGGCTCCGGCACCTGTCGTGCCCGACACTTGTCGGATACGACACGCGCACGTGGCAATCGCCCCATTGCCATCCCGGCCTGATCTCGATCCATGCGGCCGCCGCCACCGACGATGCGCACCAATCCAAACACCCACCACCCAACGCGCGGCCACTCAACCATCCCGGCTGTTGTTGAAAGCGCTGGACACGCCAAATAGTCCGATTGCCAGTGATCGCCCCGTTGGGCGTCAATGTGCAGCGGCGTCGACGGGGGGCAGGCCCTCGGGCCCACAAATCTTTGCGCTGGGCAGCGCGGGGTGGCCAAACACCGCTGAGGCGAACTTGACACGGGGGTTACGTCGGCGGCCCCGGCGCTTGGGATTCAAGCGACCCGCGCAAATGGGCGAGCGCCCCACGGCCCTGGCGGCCGCCAAGCTGCCGCCGTACCTTGCCACTCCGACGACTGACAGCGCGCTTTTTCCACGACCTCCCCCTGGAGCGGCGGTCTCAAAAGTGGCGCGACCGATAGGGGCAAACGGGCGGCGCCAATGATACAAACGAGGCATGCGCGCATACTATGGATCCATGAGGATCGGCAATCCGCGCCCTCCAAATTCTCCCGCGGGCGGCGCGGACAGGCCGCGCCGCCACCCCCGCTCCTCCACATGTACGGAAAAATCGCGCGGGTCGCTATTCGAAGACCGTGGCCTGCGAATTGACCAAGCCCATTGGGCAGTTGCGCGCTGTTTGCGGAGCTCGCCGCACCTTTGGCTCCTCCTGAGAGGGCTGGTGCCGCGTATGACGGATTTGGAGGAGGGTGGGCGGGGGGGCCGGAACTGTACATCATTGGACGCGGCTTGGTTAAATGGGGCGAGGAGGGCCTGGCATGCCGCGGGGGGGCGTGCCGGCGAACGGCGGCCTCGCTGGTATGACGAATGCGCCGGGATGCGGGGCATATGCCTGGCAGACTGCCCTGGTGGTGTCGCTAGGGCGCCTGACGGCCATCAATCAATCGGACCGGGACTGGTTGACTGATTGATTGATTGATTCATTCATTCGTTCGTTCATTCACCCATCCATTCATTAATACATTCACAAAGACCTGCTGATTTGTAGATGTCGTTTTGGAAAGAGCAGTACAACCAAGCTCTACGCAGTGCCAACTGCTGCCTTGAATGTGTTGCAAGGGTTACTGCATTCTCGCTGGAAACCGAGCTTCCATGACTTTAGGCCTTGAATGTTGTGGTTTGGGCAAGCGTTGGTGCGAGAGGGGGTGAAGTGAGGGCGTGCACATCGGGGGCCACGTTGGTACGGTGGCCTCAAATGCGGCGGCCGTCACACGCGCTAGAGGTTGGCGGACTGCAATCATCATGTGATCCGATCCATGGCGATGAGAGCCGCGTGTGGATCACCATGGATCTCTCGTTGCGCGGGAACCTTCACATGGTGATGGTAGCCAAATGCTGGCGCCTGATCCGCCACGTGGCGAGCACACAGTACAGATCTGCCCTCCGGAAGAACGCAAGGCTTGGAGGCGGTGTTGCCCATGGGAGATCGCGAGGGGCACGTGTCGGGGCCAGTACTGACATTTGATCCTCAGCCTTCGAATTTATTTGCCATGTTGCACCCACTGAAGTCAACGGGAATTGATGTCCATGATTGGATTGGCATTGAGACAAACATTTAAGCAGGATCAGGGTATCGGCACTTGCAGACGCTCTCTTCGTCGCGCTGCACAGTTCACCAGTAGAAACCGGCGTTGTTGCGATGCCAACTGCGATGCCATTTGTCACCAATTGGTGGCATCACACCCACTTTCGTGCCACTGCAACTACTGTAATGGCGCCACTTTGTGTCGCAATGATATCGCAGACATGGTGTCCTTCTGATAGTGGGTGGCACGTCTGCGGGCTTTGCTCCGCATTATTTTGGGCAGCTTTTGCACTGGTCTTCTGATGCAAATAGCGAGAAGAATCGCCGGGTGGAACAGGTACGTGTGAGACTCCCTGCTGGTTTGGCACAAATCTTGTCCACACAGTTCCCCTATTTGCTGCCAGGGACTTTGAAATTCGTTCGCCATGGAACCATGCACTTCACTGGCGAGTGGCAGGGCAGAGAAAGAGAGAACGAAGTTGACAGAGACAAGTTGGGGTCAGCAAACCAGTGCCCAAAAGCGAGGTGCATATTGAATCGAGGGTGCAATGAGCGTCGCGTTTTAGATGACATGTTGGTGGACAACGATTTGAGAGGACGAGGGAGTGCCGACACTCAGCAAGATTGCGCAATGAGAGCTGGAGAGTGTGCTCAAGAAGAATTGGAGAGTGACGACGATTTAGACATTATTGAGCAAACTGTGAGCACAACTGCCGAAATGTAGCGCCTTCTGAAGTTTGCGTGCTGTGCTTGAGTGCATGGTAAGATCGCTCGAGGGAATTTCACGAAAAGGAGCGTACCAAGGGGTGAAGCCGAAGATTGGCATCGCTGTATGGCCTGGCGGCATGCCTCTATTTGAAGGGCTAACTTGACAAAAGCAGCAGTCCAAAGCTCGGTGCCGTGCATCTGGATTGACTGCTTGGGTTTCGCTTGCGGTGTGAAGTTGTTCCATTCTGTATGTTGTGAGGCATAGTTCCACAAGTGCATTTACAACAAGTGTGCCTGCACGAACATTAAGGTGTATCACACCACAAGGGGAAAAAGGGGCCAAATAACACGTGTTCAAACGTGTACAGGTTTGACGGGTTTGTTTTATTTTCGTGTTTTCAAAACACGCTAAAGTTTAGCATGCAGAAAACTGATGAAATGCATGCATATGTGTTCACAGAACGTGTTATTTGGTCCTTTTTTGCTGGTGACACAGTTCATTGATAATGTGGCAAAGGAATCCGCGGCACGCGTTGAGGCCACAAGACACCTTATAGTAAATAAGCTGTGCGCACATGCTCTAGTTCGTATCATGTCAAAGCAACATCACAGGAATCAGACTCGGTGATTTGTGCCTCGGGAGGTGACAGATGAAGTAGACACTCCGGAGGCCCCGGCATCGACGTAAGGGCCATTGTGGCGGTGGCGGTTATAGACACCGCCGGCGATTTCTGTGTGCATTGCTATCGCTTTGCGGAAGTGCAGGTTGCTGCAAATCCAGCAGTGCTTGGAAGCAAACAGGGCTTTTCTTCCCTGTTCGCTGCGCATTTCTGGAAAATTTTCACAATTGCCATATTGCTGTGCATAGAAGGCCCAATGCCACATGACAATCCCGAAAAGTTAAGCATCTTGCACGATGTGGATGTGCGGCCACAGGTCATCACGCGGTCGCGGTTTTTGGAGTACCTTTTTGTGTATCAGACCCTGGCCGCGGCGTGCGCCATGTCAGGGCGGTTGCCCTCACAAAACACCACAGGGCAGTTCCGGGTATCCTCATGTGGGCGCAGAATAGGTTACTTTTGCACATTTCTGCGACTGCATAGGTAAACAGTTCGGGGCACTGCTTTATGAGGTAATGAAACTCAAATACAACCATTGGGGATTCGCACTAACAAAAGTCGTCATGGAAGGCAAGCCAAGCTACTAAGGCACGTCAGCGGTGGATCGAAGAAGCTACAGGAGCTGCGCTTCGACGATCTGCAATCGCATGAATGAACGTTCGCGCCGGATACGCATACGGAACAGCCACGAATCGACACGCCCGCGTCACCACAACACAACCCAGGATCCGCCTGACTGCTCGGTGTAAGGTGAATCCGCACCTATACCCCCCCACCCCCACCCCCACCCCCACCCCTTTCCCTCCACACGGACCCGCACGAGCCAGGAGGCTGCGCAAATGCACTCCGACCAGGTCTGAGGCCACAAGACTGCTGGTGGAGCGTTTCTGCACTGATGCATCAGGACGTAATGCAGCCATCCATCCGCGTTGACCATTCTTGACCGATGGGCTGCGCGGGGTCCCATCGGCGGAGGCCGCGATCCTGATTTCGGAAGCCTGCAGAGAAAGTGACCTGTTAGGATTGTATGGGGGCCGAAGAGCTGCCATTCTGCAGAAAGAAAATGGGGGCGGGCGGTGAGGATTGTGAGAGTGGCGTTTGGGTCGTCATCGGGGGCGATATGCGGAATCACATTGTGTAAACGATGCACATGTGCATCAGCCTCCGTGGAGACGCGCCGATGTATTACC